ACAACAGCGTCATCTACGGCAAGGGTCGGAAGTAGCTCGCCACACAGCATGACAGTTTAAGCTAAACCCAAAATAGGTAATTTTCCACTGATTGTGAAGAAAGCATTAACTTTCTTTGTATTTACTCTTTACACATGCTCTTTTACCCCCCCCCCCTCCAAAACAAAAGAACATTTAAAGGTATTAGTGAGAGATCCAACCTTCCACATACAATTCACATTCAATCCACCCAATCAATCGAGTGTTGGATACAGATCACCAAGGGAGACGGACATTGCGGTGGATGTCATGGTAAGATAACTGGAGAAGGGGACACTCGAACTAATGTAAACACTTGAAAATGACTTCATGCAATGATGCAATGATACTAGATTAAATGTAAAGGTTAAAACGTTTAAAAAAAAGGAAAGGGAACGAATTATTTATGGGGCAGAAATTTAAACGTTGATATTTTAGCAGTATTATATCAAATCGAAAGCAAGTTACTTTGTGAAATCTTAATTCTGTTATAATCATTCTAGGAATCAGCTAATCGTAGTTATGAATTATTAATGAATCAATGATTAATATTTGTAAAAGTTTACCGTGACAGAAAAGTAATATAAATCTATTTGCGTTTAGTGATCTGACTGACCCTCTCCATATTCTTCAGTGTCAAATATTGCTACCATGAGTATTTATCACCCAGTTTTACCAGCAAGCAAGTCACGTCTGTATAAATGATGATAACGGGCAATAAGTAGTTACAGCACTTAATGTATCCGATAATTGCTTTGAATTCAATGACAAAATGAATCAAATTCGAGGGTGAAAATGATATCTCCGAGTCTGAGTTGACAATTTCTCCAATAATGCTGTAAGCAGATAGGCCTGAGATGATAAACATAAATAACACAGAGTCAGGTATAGCTAAAAATATAGTCCATGTACGCCGCCCCCTCCCAATGGTGAAAGGAGGGAATTAAGAGGGAAACGCAACATGATTTTTTTTTGTAATGCTACAACAATTAAATTCATTTACCTCTGTCATAAAAGAATTAATCACACTCCCTTCCACTATTAATAATCACCTAAGGCTTGTTCTCAATCCACCAAGGAACAATGATCCCTCTTCCTGTCTGTCTCCGGATACCAGTGCCCCTTTAAAAGTTTGAATTAGGTCTGGGATCGGTTTGTCGGTGTGAGTGAGGTATACAATGCAAAGCTGGACAATACACTTTTATCAACAACAGTTCCCCACTAACGATGTGCATATAGGCCTAATCTATCGCTAAACGCTAGGGGACGCATTCAATTTTTCGGAAAAGCTAAAACAAAAATGGGTCATCAACTAGTTTTTTACTCCAAGAAGGGGGAGGGAGGTGCAACCATCGCCCCCCCCCCCATTTTTTGTTGTTGAAAGGCCAGACATTTTCATTAAAGGTATTACAAAGTTTTGGTATGGGGTAATGAATTTGGTTCAAATTAACATATTGGAAGCACATGCGTTCATACAATATTCATTGATCGTTGTCCCGGTTGAAATCGAGTCTAAAGTTATGAAATTATACATAATACCCTTTATGTTGTATATCTCCCTCTCAAGGTCAAGATACCAATTAGCTATGAAACAATGTTTCTTGACTAAAATCGACCGATTAGCTATTCCCGTATGGAAATTATATATCACAACTACATATTCTGGGATTTACCATTTACCATGGTGGCAGTTACTATTGTACGGCCGTAGGCGCTATAATAAATTTATCAAAATTTACCGGGAGCACCGGTAAATTTTTATATTTAATTTTTCTCGAAAACAGAAGTGTTTTAGGGTTATTTTTTTTAATACTTATAATACATCCACAGGGGCATCCAAATATATCAAAATTGTAAAGATTCACTATCCACCCAATTTCCAAAATTCCCTAAAACTTTGTATTACCTTTAATAAAAATCAATTGATTTTAAAGTTTAATAAGATATTCAAGTTTGGTTTGAGTGATTTATAGTTGGCAAACAAATGACCAGAAATCGTGGGGTTGATGAAAATGTGCCCCCCCCCCTTTTTCAATGGGGGGGGGGGGGGCGTGTCCCTCCTTAACCATGGATTACCGCCATTGTCATTTTGCTGAGTTATTGGAGTTGCGTGTTTCGGGCTATTGATGAGGCAAGGGCGTTAGAGGGAGGGGCGTTAATACCGGTCTTACTGGATGAATGAATTGTTATGAGAGAACTGGGCAATAGAGAGGCAGTGGTGGTATAATTTTATATTGCTTTCTATCTAACATTACATCTTCATTTTCCTTTCTCTCCTCGCTCTCTCTCTCTCTCTCTCTCTCTTCCTCTCTTTTCCCTTCTTTTGATGGGGAGGGGGTATTAATGTCTTCTATTTTCGCCATTCGGTTAGGAGGGAACGTGCCCCCTGAGGATAGGATGAGGGGTTGGAATGAAAATTGTTATAATTTGTTAATTTCTTGTAAAGGAGTCATTTCCACCCAAGTGCCCAATGCGTGTGGCGACGTATTCGATGCTCTCAGTATTCAATGAATACACACTTAACAAACTAATTTAAGAATTTTATTTTTGATTTATTTTACATTTTCATTGCAAATAAACACAATCATAATATAAAACACCAATGCATAATTACTTGTATGTATTATATTATTTACATTCGAACTGGATTCAGAAGAGCTTTGTCATTTCAATCCCGAAATTGCGCATAATATATAGGAATTATATTACGGTCATATACGCATATTTTGATACCTTATTTGTGACACTGGCAGGTCACTAATTAGCTGGGGTGTAGCGGGCTGAGCCCCATGAATCTCAGGGTTTTTGAGGTATTTAATAGCGGTTAGATGAGCATCCAGGGGCCCGCCTTAGGGCCTTTGGTGGGGTCCAGGGGTGGAGCCCCCGTAAGCTAAGGGGCTTTAGGCATTTAATTACAGTCAGATGAGCATATTTTGATACCTCACTGGTGAAACTGGCAGGTCATCATTCTCTTTTTCTCTTTAATAAAATTTTTATAAACGTGAGGGGGGCTCGAGCCCCCGATCCCCACTGTTTTGCAAGCCCTGACATGAAGGCTTTTAAATAAGCATATTTTTTGCAAGACTGTAAATTTGGGAATTTGTAATTTTCCAACAAACGCATAGGGCTACAGAAGCTTAATTTACAAAAGAAATTGAGAAAAATTCCAGGAAAATTATGTCATTTAAGCGACATTTGTAAATCACTGGTATCGAATTAGAAGAAGAAAAAAGCACATTTGAATTTTTTTTTGGGAGCGACCGCCCCCTACCCCGCCTTTAACCATCATCATCACCCTCATAGTTTTTATAATTATGATCAGACAACCATTAATTGTGTATACTTTGATCTATTTGTGGACAATTTATCATACTTGCAAAAACTGATCAGATTGGTACAAAGTCGTATAACGTTTGGACGTTACATGGACCCTTGTTTTTCCCCATTTCATTCTGTGAGCGATTTGTGCAGATGGATGAGAGTAATACATTTAAAAGTTATTTGCATTGGGATAGAAGGCTTTTATTATAATTAAAACCCGACTCGATATTAGCGTGAAGGTGAAGCGTGTCAGTTTTTGCAAAACAAGACAGTTTCGCTACCCAATGAATAAAATCTCTTTGAAATCATTTCATTGTTGTGTATACAAATAATTTATTAATGCTATTTCGAGAGCACAGAGAATTTATTTTCGTAAAAGTTCAGTCACGAAATTTCGTGATTACAGACATACGCTGCATATACATGTATTTTTTTTATTACATTTCAATTCAATCTAATTCGTTGTATTATATGCATAGGTTCTTCTTCTTCCAGTTAAGTACAGACCGCCGTTGGCGTATTATCGTACTAGGTTAATACATAAAATATAAACATACGAGTTTTATGAAATACATAGAATAGTTACAGTCTAATACAGAACAAACAAACATGTTTTAAACGGTATCATAAGAAGGATCTGTTGTTTGCGATACACTGTATATACATGTATTTTTTTTTATTACATTTCAATTCAATCTAATTCGTTGCATTATATGCATAGGTTCTTCTTCTTCCAGTTAAGTACAGACCGCCGTTGGCCTATTATCGTACTAGGTTAATACATAAAATATAAACATACGAGTTTTATGATATACATAGAATAGTTACAGTCTAATACAGAACAAACAAACTTGTTTAAACGGTATCAAAAGAAGAATCTGTTGTCTGCGATACACTGTATATACATGTATTTTTTTATTACATTTCAATTCAATCTAATTCGTAGCATTATATGCATAGGCCCTTCACAAAAGTATGTCTGGAATACTGCACTTGTATATGGTGTCGGCATATCGCGAAAATTAATGACCTCCGTTTTTCCTCTTTAAACACCTGATGGTAAATCTGACGACCATTTTTTACCCCTGTTGGGAATTTAAGAATCTGATATTTTTTCTGGTTTCTAAATTTTTCAGCTATCAAATAAATTGTAGGCAAATTTCCTCAAACACTTGGAGAAAAGGCTTTTAAAAAACACATTTTGTTATATAAACCCCGATATTCGCGTGACCGGGTGAAGCGTGTCAAACTTTTCGCAAAACAAGACAGTTCCACTTCCACTTCCACTTCAAATTATTTCAGATGAATAAATTCCGCTTGAAATATTTCATTGTGTACAAATATTTTCTCCAAGCTATTTTGAGAGCACAGCCAATTTGTTTTTTCGTAAAAGTGCAGTCATGACATTTTGCAATTACAGACATAGCCTACATGTACATTGCATATATCTCTTTGGTATTTGTTTTCACAGATCAATTAAATTCAATTTGTTTATTTCAATTCCAGCAAGTAGATTAAAACTTCATAGGTAATATATGAAATATATACACGTACATAAACGAGTTAAAAAATATATCTATCTACAGTAAGTATATCCATCTCCATGGTATAACGCAATTGCTCAGTGGTAGAGCATCAGTCTCGAAACTGGAAGGATCCAGGTTCGAAACCAAGTCAATGTGCTAGTTTATATATATATTAATTTATTTATTTATTCAGTCGTCTTTAAAATACAGGGTAGTCACTTCAGAGCCACAAGGCCTGCTTTTCAAAGGAGCCATGTAGGCGTGTGACAAAACACATGGTAAAAATTACAACAACAACAAATAAAAACAAATACACAATACATAATACATGACTCCTGCCCTTTAAACCTATTCGAGGATTCACTAGTTCGGCAATGTCAGTCTCGAGAGCTGTCAGATTGTTACATCATTGGTCTTGCAGATTTTCTGCAAAGTCAAAGTGAAACAGAAGCAACAAGGAGTCAAATATGGATATTTGGAAGAAAATCACATTCCGTAGTTACTGACCGAAGATTTGACGCCTTGAGATATCAAAATGATATTTTTCGTCCATCGTGACACCTTGTTGTCATATCAGCCATCCAGGATAAACAAAAACAAATTGGGTAAAAGCCTCAACGTGGACATGGCGTGAAAATGGTACCTAAATGTACTGGGAGGATAACTCTATCAAGACATATCATTAAACCAATGAATAAATATTCATACTTCAAACAATACAACTTTTAAAAAGTAGGACATTCTTTCTGACTCACCCTGTATAACAAAGTGTAATCAAGGCTATATATAACAGATATTGACTGGTACTGTGTGCAATATACCATATTTTTGAGAGCAAGGGAGTAATATTTTCCCTTTTATCTTGGGAAAATATAACTCCCTTCGGCGGTGCAAAAAACGCTGTACCAAACACCCTACCAGTCAATATCTGCACAATATTTGAAACATGTCTAGATCGTCTCATTTCAAGTCAAAGAAACAAAATCCAAAAGAAATGAACCCTTAAGGAATTTTGCAAACAATTAAGGTAATTATCCTGTAAGTGACATTTTATAAAGACAAATAAACGTGGAACTTCCTTACCGGTCTTCTGAAGGCATCCACGAATCCTGCCAGTAAGTTCTTAAGTCCTGGAAAAAGAAAAAGAAAGAAAAAGGAATAATGGTGTTGATCAGTTCAAATCTCTTTTTGTCCGAAAAGTGATCGGGTTCTGCGAACAAAATTTTGTAAGCTCCCTTTTCCAAAAATATCTATGTATATCGTTTATCTTTTTGTTGTATCTATTTGACATGAATTTTGGCAAATGATCAATCCAAATCAAATCAAAAGCAAGTGAAAATGTTTTTTCAAATTTGATTCAGATCTGATGTATCCTGTGTATGCTAAAGGTATGCGGCCCCCTTTATTAACAATAGTTGTATACAATAATGAAATTTGCGTCCATAACGCATGTAATTTCCCCGATATACCCCCTCCCCCATCCCTGCCAATATTTGTAAGAAGCCCTCCGAATACAGAATCCCCCAAAAAATAAATAGATAAACAAGAATATAAATGAATGAATGAAATATTTTAATGATAATAATAATATAATAAAAGCAATAATAATGAAATTGAATAAAATATACCGGTAATGAAATTAATGAAGAAAAAAAAAGGGGAAAAGGGAAAACATGAATAAAGAATTTCCAAATCCAGAGGGCAACATTGTTTATCATGGTGCAATCTCACAAACAACATGAATATCTGATCATAATTATTCAATGTAAATAGCTTTTGAGAAGGTAATAAAAAGAATGTCCTTACGTTGCCGGTACTTGAAACCAAGACACGTAATGATGACGGAGATGATGATGGAGGTGATAATGGAGATGGGGAAGATAATCTTTAAAAAGACTGTATTATCTTCAGCAGGTTGCGGTGGTATCATCGTAGAAGCTTTAGAGGGAACACCTGGAGAAGAGGTGGAAAGCCCTACCCCTTGGGCTAAGGATAAATCATACAAAATTTTCATGAATTTATCGCTATTGTATTTTGAGAATGGTGAGGCTAATATATTGACATGTTTATAATAATATTTGATTAGTAGACATTATCAATACTGCTCAGGCATTTCCAAATCTTCGACGATATGATTTGTTAGATATTTAGGAACACCTCTTTGAGGTGGATTATTAGGAGTCGCTATTCAGAATACGAAATGAGGGTCGCTATTCATAATACGAGGAGAGGGTCGGTATTCATAATACAAAATGAGGGTCGTTTAAGATCCATAATACGAAATGAGCGTCGCTATAAAGAGTAAGGGGTTGCTATTCATAATACGAATTGAGGGTCGCTATTCATAATAGGAGTAGGGGGTCGCTATTCATAATACGAAATGAAGGTCGCTATTCATAAAAGGAGTAGGGGGTCGCTATTCATACGAAATGAAGGTCGATATTCATAATAAGAAATGAAGGTCGATATTCATAATAAGAGTAGGGGGTTGCTATTCATAATACGAATTGAGGGTCGCTATTCATAAAACGAGCAGAGGGTCGCTATTCATAATTATGAACTGAGGGTCGCTATTCATAGTATGAGCAGAGGGTTGCTATTCATAAAATGAGTAGAGGGTCGCTATTCATAATTCGAAATGATGGTCACTTTTCATAATAGGAGTAGGGGTCGCTATTCATAATACGATATGAGGGTCGCTATTCATAATTCATACCCCCCCCCCCCCGTGAGCGAATTTTTGACCGGCGCAATTTTCAAATTTCCGAGAGAAAAAAAAAGTGCTCACTACCCCCCCCCCCCCCCCCCCCCCCCCCCCCCCCCCCCCCCCCCACTCTAAGCGACTTTTCGGCCGGCGCGATTTTCGAATTTTTCGGGAGAAAAAAAAAAAATGGGCCCCCTTCCCTAAGAAATCCTGAATCTGCGCCTGTCTTCCTTTACCCACTTTCCTTCCTTCATTCATTTTTCCTCCCTTCTAAATATTCTTTTTCTACCTGCTTGTAACGCATTTATTCGCCGGGCCTATCCAAAACAAGCATTGCTTTAGTTTAGGCCCATCCACTATACATAGCCATATGATGAAACGTTTAAACATATTTATTATATTGTAATTGACTTGTAGGCTTACTATCATCGTGATTCGCTTACTATCATCATGATTATCGTGATTATACTGCAATATCTTTTGACAATTTTTTTTTGGGGGGCCGGTTAATTTACTAATAAAGGAATGTTGTTATATATTTAAAACAAACATAATTATGTTGACATAAAAAAATAACAAAGTTACTAATTTCACTTAATCAAGGTAATTATAAATATGATAGTAAAGTCAGGTTATAAATTAATGACTTATGAAAATGAAATGCACATACAAGCGTGTATCAAACTCTACTGAATAACGTAGCCAAGCCAAATGTGTGGTACTTTATTATACCTGTAACAGATAGCAGTACATGGCCACGTTCCTCAATGAAGAGAAGTGTCGCCACTTTACAGTGATAGATTCCACTGTCTGTCTTCTTGAGGTCCCTGATCGTTAAACGTGTAGCATTGCTGCTGCCCTCATATCTGGTATCGTTTGTCCATGAGGTATTACTCTGGACTTCGAGAGAGTAGATAGTGTGATCGTTCTTCTTCCAGTACACGAATATTCGTGTTTCGTTCGGGAAAGGGGGACACGGCAAGGTGACATATCCTCCAATGGGGACAGTTTTCTCTATAGAAGGAGAAAAATATCATTATGTAAATCTAAAGTAATTTCTATTGTACGCTATTATACAACGCAGACGTTTCTTACGTTTACCACAGCGGTTTACTGCTTTTTTTCTTCATTTGTTTGTTTTAATATTTGTTGAGTTATTAATCTTGCTTAAGCTTTTTTGTATAGATTGTCTTTAACGCAACTATGAGCGATTATTTGATACCCCTTTGATGCGCGCAGCAAATTTCTTTTGTTCACCCCACTTGCCGTTCATTTGCGAACGAGCCTTTACTTGATGCAAGAGGGATGGCGATTTACTTTCGTGACCGGGGGGGGGACAAAATGCGAGGGACGAGGGGGCATAGTGATCGAGAGGGGCGAAGGTGCCGGAAGTGACTTCCCCCTCACAGGTTTTTTTAACATTCCTTAGCAGAAATATAGTTTAAAAAACAAGCAATATACCATTTTTACACTTCACTTTTACTTTGCCGGTAATTCGTGTGCAGTCCGAAGGGTTGTACAAATTTAGTAGGTAAAGTTCAGTGGGTAGGGAGCTTGGGCATGGGTGTAATTTTTATTTCCTACTCTAGGCCTCTGTCATGTACATTTATATTGATATCGATATGGAAGTTGACATGGTAAATATATAGCCTATGTGGTAGTAAACTATTAAAACCAACCATCTATTTCTATGACTCTTAAACATGCAGTGTAAACTGTGCTTACGTAATACCAACGGAATACAGATTTTCTACAATATTGACTGTCTCGTACATTTTTTAGGATATTATGCGAGGGAACGTAACGACCGAGCGAGAAGATTTTTGCATTGTTATCAGTCTTAATGCTACCTCATTAAGAAAGCCTAGAAGTATGTTGCAGTTTTCAGTCAGTATTTCCTGTCCTTTTGGGGGAACTTTTTCACCTTTTCCGGGGGACGATCCCCCTAAAAAAAAATGAGAGGGAGTGTCCCCCCATACCCCCTCCCCCCGGATCACCGCCCCTAGATGCAAGGCTCTATAAAATAAAGACTTAAAGGGGAACATACGCTACTAGTGGTAATAACAGTTTGAAATTATGCTATAAACAGAAGGTGCCTTTAACTTATACACGCATTTCTATGAGAGTTGGTCGAAAGCATAGGGTCCAAAGAAAGAGAAGGGGTGATTCTCAAAACACTGTGATACAGAGGAACCAGGAGCAAGAGAGAGGCTCCTACAAGCCATGGTCATCTTGCAATCATGCTACAATTTTACATATATTTTGTAAAACATGCATTAAAAAAATCAACACACCTGGCTGAGCGGCCTGTCTTCTGATTGGCCCTCCCATCGTCAAAGCAACTGGGAACATACAAGTCATGCAGGTAATGCAGGTAATAATGCCGACTTTCATTGTGTAATTCCTGTAATATGTAGAAAAAAACATGATCATCATATAATACAGTAGCATAACAGGCAAAGTGGTTCTTGGCCGAAGATCTCGATTTTATCCTACCCCACGAGAGAATGTCATCAATTCATCTCTAATTTCATGAAGTCCACTAAATATTCACAACCCTCATGCACAATTTGCATTTTTGTTATTTATATTTTCGTCATCACTATTATCATCAGCATTATATTGTTATTACTAATATCATCATTATTATCATTTTATTATTGTTATTATTATTATTATTATTGGTAGTAGTAGTACTAGTAGGAGTAGTATTATCATAATAACTTGTTCACGACAAAAGCTTCTCGTCACTTTATCTCGTCAGAAAATCTCAGATGTGTCTCACTTGACACCACTCCACAGTAATAAAGGCCTTCTCTTTACGTCTTTTTGATAGTTCAAACTTAAACCTATAGTTTATACATTAAATTCAAACACTTTCTAGTAATCCCTGGATTACTATAAACATCCGTGTATCAACTCAAGAAAAGCATCCAATACAAGATAATCATGCATCAATGATAACTTTAAATCAAATATTTTCAATGTTTACTCATAGCTGTCAAACTTTTGTCTGAAAATCAAATTACCTACGGAAGTTAAATTATCAAGAACATGATTTTCGTTATAACTGCCTTTCGAAAAATAACTCCGAAAATAAACCAGTAACATGAAATCCAAAACAAGAATTATTCTTCCAGAACAAGAATGGTCAGTGGCTGTATTTATTGCCTTTAATATTTTTTTATATTTTTTTTCTTCACATAAACATTAAACAATTTTTAAACACCTTCAAATGAACTGAACTGATGTGCATCAACATACAACTTACATCGAAATAACGTACATGTACATGTATTATGAACTTTCAAACGACAGAGAAATACTTAGCACTGTGCATAATACCATTTTCATACATGTAATACATGACTCTTTTAGGCCTACTTCCCCCTGAACATTATCTTCTTTTTTTTTCTTCTATCAACTTGTCCGAAGTATAACATTCATGTTAATGTTCTAAATAAAACGTGACTTCCCCGTCCAAAGTTCACTCCACAGTTTGTTCACTCCACAGTTTGTTCACGTCATCGCATCTACTTTCACTGTACTTCCGCCATTTCCTGTTGTGAGACGATGATTGGCATAAAATTATTTAACCCAAGGCAATTCGAGTTTCTCTCTTTCTGGTATGTTTTATATCAACAAAATATACTTGATAGGGGGTTACACATTAAGCAGTGTTCCAGATTTTGAGGGGTCTCCAAGGAAGGAAAAGCCCCCCAAAAGCCCGCAAAAGGGGGTTCAGACCCGGCCCCCCCCCCCCCCCCACTCAGTGTTATTTAGGGTACGCATATGCGTGTTCCAACCGACCCCCCCTTTTCAGCAAAAGTCCGGTGTGTAAAGTCAATACGGCTCGACCTTTTTCTTTTGTTACGAAAAGGACATTTTGGCAACACGCATGCGGTCATTTTGAAACCTGAGTGGGGGGGGGGGGCCGGGGGTTCAGAAATGTTGGCAGTCCTGAGCTGAGATAGGGAGGGACACAACGGGCACAAGACAAGAGTGAACATGGGGAGGGAATCTGAAAATATTCAGTGTACCAAGGAGTTTTAAGAGCTGGAGACCCAACTGGCAACAAATTATTCCAAGCAGCTGCCGTTTTCTATGGTTGCACAATAGAATCTACTGGTAAGCTTTTACCTTTGATGTCCGAGGTTCCAAGCCGCCAATATCATTGGAAAGCTTGAGTAGTGATTATTGTCACAAAGAAATATCCTTAATATTTCACTTTTTATTTGAACTAACAAGGGGAAAATCTTACAGATGATAAAACATGAATACAAAAGCCTAATTGTTTCAAGAAATTTACTTACATTGTATGATAGCAGCTTTAATTTGTGAAAAATATTAAAAATGTACAGTCCTAAAACTTGCAATTTGACATTTTTCCGATTACTTGCGGCTCACGAAAATAAAAAGTGAATTTGTTCGTGTACAGTTCTTTATGATGTTATATGTCAGATTAGTGCCCACACATGCCCAGTCGAGCAATTTTGATTAATATTTCATGAAATTTTGCTCCGTATTATCAGAAGAGTAGTAGCGAAAAGTAATTGGCATTACAAAATCATATTTCCATTTGAAAGTGGCCACATAGTTTGCAGCTAGGCAGGAATATTTTGTCTACATATCTGCAAGGAAGGTCCAGTTAAAAGCACATGCCTGACATATTTTCTCCTGGCGGCACCGAAGATGGTACAAAGGGCATGAGCTAGATAGGACTCCATCTTGAATAAGCCAGTTCATAGATACAATCTGCGCATGGGCAGATAAAGGTCATTTGTACCAAAATGGTAAAACCCACAGAGATGAATACTGGATATGCGCTCATGAAAGTTATGTAACATTATTCATTTATGCACCAACGGTACATTCTATGATACGCAGGTGGAAGTATTCTTTTTAAGAGGACAAACAAAAGGTATTCATGAGGCACATCTAGGACTTTGGCAGTTATTATTCTAAGATGCTCAAAGTGGAACTTCTCCATGTGTAAAAGACCTGTGGATATTTGGGGTCATTTGTACCATGTGCTATCTGTAAACTCCCTTATTGGTTAGACACTTAATATCAAGAAAACACACAAGATGACAGCGACACTAGTCAACGGGAAACAAAAACTCGCATATAATCATTTTCACAACAAAAACACGGCAGTGATGATACATGAATCTCATAAACAGTATTGGGTAGTAAATACAAATATGTATAGGGTACACTTACATTACTTTTCTTCAACAAATTCACGACCGCTTGTATGGCAAGTTTGTGTACTGGAACTCGAACTTGATCGCGGAAGTGTTTTCAATGATTAAGATTCGATCATACATAATACACAGATGGTCATGCAACGGTTAGATCATAGACGTAATACGTAATATTGTATTAATCTATGGTTAGATTCGATCACTCAATCCAGAGTATGTTTACTGCACTGTTTGTTCACGCCATCGCAACTACTTTCACTGTAATAAATTGTAACTGTAACTTTCGCAATTTCCTTGTGTGAGACGATGATTGGATTAAATCTGGGGCAGGCGCGTACGCAGGATTTTTTCAAGGGGGGGGGGGGGGGGGGTTTAAAATTTATAAATCGGGCCGAAAATTTCGCAACGGCTCAGCCAGCCGCTGAATAAGCGGGGGGGGGGGGGGGGTAAGAGGACACTTTTTTTGTTTGGGTCCCAAAGAAATCGCAACGACTCAGCCGACCGCTGAATATGCGGGGGGGGGGGGGGGGGGGGGTAAGAGGTAAGAGGACACTTTTTTTTTTTTTGGTCTCGAAATTTGAAAATTTGACATTTTGCTCTGTTGGGGGGGGGGGGGTAAGGTCACCTGTTTAGGTCAGCCATGGGGGTAATTTTTTTTTTTTTTTTTTTAATAATTAAAAAAAAAAAAAAAATCCAAAGGGGGGTGTTTTAGGGGAGTTTACACACATAAAAATACCAATTTGAATGATTTTTGAGATTTTTTTCGAAAAATGTTATTTTTATAAAAAAACATTATTTTCCATTTATCAAAATTGGAGAATTGCATTTTTTCATAACTTTCCAAGAATTAGCAATCCAAAGTTATTGATTTGATTTCCACAAAAGTTAATATACCGATATACTGGCAAAAATCAGAAGAATATCTACAATAAAGCACCTTTTTGACTCAAAATTTATATTTCACACACTACATCACTCATTGAAATTGATATCAGAATGAAGGTACTTTAATTATCCATCTTTTGACACCAAATACATGGTGATTAGAGGTTTAAGTTCAAAGTTATCTTTAAAACTCGATGGAAACACACAAACAGGTCCTTAATACACTAATGCACGTATATGCATACAGTTATTACACATGTGGGCAAAAATGTTGTTTTTGTGGAAATCAAATCAATAACTTTGGATTGCTAAAACTTTTTATTGAAACGATATATAAACCTCTCCCTCGCACAGGATATTGTCGTTGTACATAAGCAAATTCCTGGAAAGTTATGAAAAATGCAATTCTCCAATTTTGATAAATGAAAAATAATGTTTTTTTATAAAAATTAAATTTTTCGAAAAAAATCTCAAAAATCATGTTTTTTACTTAAATTTGCGATGTTAATTAATCCCAAATTCTTTGAAATTTGTATCAAAATGTAGATAATTTAATTCTATTTCATATGACACCAAACTCATTGTGGTTCAAGATTTCCTAAAATATTGTTTACATAATACTATTTTGTCGTCAAAAGGGACACGTTTTGGTGGGGGCGTCCCCCTGGCCACACCCACCACTTAGAACATGCCAGGCGGTCAATTTTTTATGTGGAGCTATGCGATCTTTACATCTGTACACATTAAAATTGGTTTCCTTCCCAGCTAGGTTGACCCCCACTGGCTCCCGGTCTAGGACCCCCAGGAAATGAAGTAGGGGTCTGAAAATTTGCACCCCATCATTTTTGGTCAATTGGGACCCTTTTGAAGCCAAAACAGCAAAAAAAAATCAACTTTGGCACAAAATTCCTACGGGAGCTGTCTCAGTGACATACCGTACCACACTATAATAACAAAAGATACCCTTAATTCCTTTAAATTTCGCTTAAAGAAGCACTGCTTTAAGAATTCCTAGCTCTTGCCAGTAATTTTTATGATTATTCTAAATTCATTCCCTACGTTACTTTGGTCATTGTTCATATGTTCATATGTCTAATATTTTTATTGCATCCGCCATACGGCCACATGCAATATTTCCCAATGTTTTCATATTAGTCTAATTTTTACATGTTTGTTATTTCTGTTATTTTAGAGAATTTCCATCTGTTGTTCGTTTGTTTACTTGCCATTTTCTTTTCTGATTCATGATTTATGATTCTATATTATGTTTATGTTTATGTTGATGTTGATCGTTCAATAATTATGCTTTGAATTGTATGTTATCACAGGGCTCCATGGAAGACCAACTTATTGTTGAATGGGCTACCCGGGGGGAGGGGGGTAGTGAGCACATTTTTTTTTTTTTTTGTCCTCGAAAATTTAAAAATGTGCACCCCCCAAAAAAAGGTAAAAATCACGTGTTTTTACATGATTTTTTTCTCAAGGCCCCCCGAGCCCCCCCCCCCCTGGTTCCGCCACTGTTAGAGGGAGGGGCGTTAATACCGGTCTTACTGAATGAATTACTTATTGTGAGAGAACTGGGCAATAGAGAGGCAGTGGTGGTATCATTTTATATTGCTTTCTCTCTAATGTTACATCTTCACTTTCCTTTCTTCTCTCTCTCTCTCTCTATCTATCTTCCCCTCTTTTGATGGGGATGGTTTTTTATCTTCTATTTTCGCCATTCGATTAGGAGCGAACGTGCCCCCTGTAGGGGTCGGAATGAAAATTGATATAACTTGTTGATGTCTTGTAAAGGACTCATATCCACCCAGGTGCCCAAAGCGTTTGGCTACGTATTCGGTGCTGTCAGTATTCAATGAATACACACTTCACAAACTGATTTGAAAATAATTTCTTTGATTTATTTTACATTTTCATTGCAAATGAACACAATCATGATATAAAACACCAACGCATAATTACTTGTATTTATCATATTATTTACATTTGAATTGGATTCAGAAGGGCTTTGTCATTTCAATCCCGAAAGTGCGATACGTGTATTTCTGAGAGGGGGGCATTAAATGTATGAAACATTTTGGCAAAAATATATATCAGGAGCATTATTATACAAATTGTTTTTATAATTTGTATATTGCTTCTCGCTAAACTCATCTCTAACAAGCACTATATTGATTGAACAATGTTGTGTGTAGTGCAAGCTTTCTTCGAAAAACGTATCTCTTTACCATGCTCATAATATTTTCGCATTTGCTTTTATTTCGTATAAGAGGGTTTTTCCATAAGGGTAACATATTTCATGACATGTTCATAATCATAATGATAGATATCGTATGTGTACCAAAGTGACAAGTTATTTCTTTCTGTTATAGCAAATTGCATGGCTGGTCCCAAGTTGGCCAAGCCTCGGACACGTTTCCTACTCCGTCGACGATACTAGTTTGCAGGCACAACGACTGTCAGGTCGATGAGACTATGCTGACGTCATTATGCTCTGTACTTAAGCTGCTCAAGATTTATTTGACACAGCCAGACACTGACGTAGCTACTAGCTAGGCTCTGCTCAGGCTGTAAGAATCGTGGTAAAGTATAAAATTAGTCTATGTCTGCAGATTAGAGGATACACTTGCTGTCTAAGACAGTGACAAGTCATGTGGATATGTATTTATTGCTTTTTCCCCCGACACCTGCCCAAACTGAAAACAACCTTCCTTGCCTTGAAGAGCTCTTCAAAATACACCAAAAGAGTAACACGATATGACAAACACTTCCTTTAAAGCTACTCTAGATAGACGCTATTATATATCATTTGAAACTTCTTAGTTTGGAAAGCTCTGATAAAAGGAAAGTGTCCCTTAACCAATGAAAGTAAACCCTACAGCAAATTGATACATTTCCCTTTGTATAATGATTCTTTTATTGATTTTTGTCGTAATTGCTCATAGTGATTATTCTGTTGGAAGTTCAAATTCAAAACTGAAACTGAAACTGAAAACTTACGTTACACTGTCCCGAAAATTGGATAAACCGAAGACATATCCTCATTGGGCAAACCAAAAAATATTAAATTGTGACGCGCATAGAGAAATCGCTGGTTTACTAAGTGCCAAATAAACCCGGAATATTATTATCATTTCTATCATCATCACACCTATTCTATTTTTGGAAAATTGTATAATTGCAAAAAAACAAATAAGATAGGTACAAAGTAGTCTAACGTTTGGAGGGTACATAGACCCTTGTTTTCTCTTTTAATTCTGTGAGTGATTTTGTGCAGAATTCGAACACCTCATCTTCATAATAGATGAGAGTGACTTACACTTTAATAATAAATGCAAAAATTATTTACATTTGGATAGAAAACTTTAAATGTAATTAAACCCCGATATTAGCATTAAGGTGAAGCGTGTCAAAATGTTCGCAAAACAAAATAGTTTCACTATCAATTATTTCAAATGAATAAAATAACTTTGAAGTATTTCATTGTTGTATACAAATATTTTATCGAAGCTATTTTGAGGGCATAGAGAAACAAATTTTCGTATAAGTTCAGACACGACATTTCGCGATTACAGAAATACACTGTATATTTCTTTTACAATTCAATCCATTTAATATTTCAATTCCAGTAAATACATTAAAATGTATAGGTAAATACATGAAATATATACATACATATACCAATTTGACTACCCTCTCACATTTTTAAAAGTTTTGTTTACTTGTACGTTTTGAAGGATATTATGCGAGGGAGCGTAGCGACCGAGCAAGAAGATTTTTGCATTTGTTATTAGTCTAAACGCTGCACTCTTGGGCCATCCAGAGCCTTAAAGTGTGTTCCAGTCTTTTGTCAGTATTTGTTTTACATTTTGTTTGCACTTTTTAATATTGCCAGCGTTTAGGGTTTGTATAGGGGTCGCCGTATCGCCGACCCTGATGCATTTGAACTCTATTTTGGCTGTCATCCACGTCTTCGTCATCTCTGCCATGTGTGTCTGAGCTGAGTAAATCAGTGCGTTTACCTTCCTTTAAAAAAAAAGAATATAGTCAAGCGTTAGAGAATTAAACGCCCTCATCCACCGTGGCTGGAAAACACTTTGAACTATACCCCATGTCAAAAAATCGTTTTCAGGGATGGCTCATTTACATAAAATAGTCCCACCACGAGAATGGTTTTGTTTTTTTCCCCCCTCTATTTAGGCATTACTTTTTTTGTATCTCCTTTATAACCAACAGTATTATAGTGTATTTTCGTTGCGGTGGCAGCACCAATAAAGCCTTTGATTTTTCCTTTTCCCTGCTTCCTCATTCATATGACCTTTTTTGTTGTTGTGGTATTCTATTG